ACCATTAGCTGAAAAGTATAAGCCTTTAAAAGGGCTATAAATCTATGAGTGTGACTGATCCCCTGGTCTGTATCAGCAATATTTTATTACGTATTGGGAAGGGGCAAAGAGGTTCCATGTGTTTCTCAGGGACGATGAGCACCCTGTGCCAGAAAACTAGCAACGTACAAGAAAAACTGGGAGTGTGAAACGGACTTGCTGACTGAGACAATTTCAAGAACCCCAGCTGGATGTGACCTCTTTCACGATCTTCAGCTAACTAACAGAAGTCAAGGAGAGCTGGAGGATGAAGCCTTCGAAGTCATAACCGTCTTTCAAGGCACCATTCAGCACAAACCAGAGTATTTTGAATTAAAATTGAAGATATCAGCTAATAGGTATGAAAGGAGATATAGTCTTCAGAATACATCTTCAGAACTAAGACTTAGACAGGGCCATACCAAGGCAGACAGGTTAAGGATTTGTTTTTATACAGGAAGAGTACATCCCAGTGCCCAGCACGCTGTGAACTGCAATATTCTCGTGCTTGGATTTCACGGGTACCTTTGAATGCTCACCTGGGTAGGTCTAGAACAGGTGTCAACACTTCTCAGTTAATGCAGTTACATCACCGATAGCACACTACAGATAGGAGGCAGAGACAGAGTGGGAAGACGGTGTTATTGAAGCCCAGTACACATAATTCACAAAGTATTTTCACTTTGATCTCCTAACACAAGGCAAAGGACATATAAACTGTTAAGAAAAGATAATAATCTTGTTTGGTTTCAAGTCAAGCAGAGGTCTATAGATCTTTGCAATAGAAGAATGGATTAGGGATCTTAAGTCTACCTCCTAACAAGCCTTAGCAGCTATCAGTGCTAAGCTGAGAGAGTATGTCAGCAGTAATGATGGCAAGGAGGGATTAAGTGACAGGGGAGACTCAAATGAAATGCTGTCTCATCTCACATTTCCCATTAATAACTGGTCACATTCAGAAACCAATCACCTGGACCTTGCAATCAAGAGAGCTCCCATCCAAACCATCCATTTCAGGAGTGAAAAAAAAGAAAGTTAATCTGTTTACACCAAAATCCTTGAATCCCAGATATCAGAGAAACTGCTTCTCAGCTTGTAATGATTTCAGATTTTAAAAAAAAATCAAGTGATTTGTTTTAGAGGTCAGACTGTGACAGTGCTGTTTAACTATTCCTATACCTGCACAGCTTCAGCATGGTTGCAGTGCTCATCCCACTCCTCCATTAGAAGTTAATGATGCACCTCCTACTCAAAGTTTTTGTCAGCCTTCTGTGAACATGAGTGTCCCAGGGACCATTAGAAAGGCAAAAGTGCTGAAATGCATGAGGGCAGTACAGAGCTAAGCTGACCCACATCCACATTCATTATTTAATTTTCTTTGAACTGAGCAGTTTCTGGTATACCGTTCAGTTTACGACTTTCCTTTCAGGACAAAAGCAGTTGGTAACGAAGCTGTATAAAACAGATTTACAGTTAATTTAAACGCCAGGAAACAGCATCTCTAAATAACTCCTGGACCGCGGTCAATTCGTGCCTGTGCTGGCCGAGGAACACCCTGTCGGACCTGTGATTTAACTACGCCGTGTGCACAAGTCAGCCGCTGCACTCGATCTAAACCCGACGTGCCCGCGGGCCCGGAGCTGCGGACGCAGAGGCGAGTCCAGCAGCAGGAAAGATGCTCTGCCAGGACCTGACAGCTGCCCCTGGCCCCTGGCCCCAGTACCGCACCGTCTGCCAGGAAGGTGCACGGCTCTCTCAAGCTCATCGGTGTGCTCTAACACGTTGTGGCACCTCGAAAGAAGACTAGGGGGCAAACGCTGCCACGACCCCTCCAGAACCGCGCTGCCGTTTCTTGTTTTTTCCCTCGCTGCCGTTTGCAACAGGAGGGTCAGGTCCCTCTTTGTGGACTCTCACCTCCAGATGCACAACAAGGGCTGTGTCTGTAACTGTCTTGATCCAAGGTGAAACAGAACCAGAACATTTTTCACATTTTAAGGAACCTCCTGTTGAGGGTGATGATGTCAGCAGCCACTGAAGAGACAGAGAGGCGCTGACCTTCATAGCCCCTTGAAAACTTTGATATCAGTTTCTAAAAAAAGCATCTTTTCAACTTAATGCCTGTATTTTAATCTGGTTCCTCCCATGATCACACCCCTTCTACTGCCCAGAACTGTTTACAAAGACTCTGGGATGGAGAAATGCTATACTTTTCAAAACCTCATGAAAGTTTTGTCAGCGGAGCTTCTGAAGACAGTATCTCAGCCTTCCAGCTGTAAAGCCTGCACCACCAAAGCCAAACTCCACCTTTGCATTATTCGCTTACTGACTGCTATGTACTTTTTCATCAGGCTTTATTATTACCAAAGCGCCTTTAACTCTGCTAAATGTTTTCCATCCTGAATATGTTACCCTGGTGTCCTTGCTGCATGAGCATAATGAATGCTACTGCCTGTAGGTACAGTATGTATTATAGAGGAAACAGTTTACAGCAGATTGAATTAGCATTAGCATAATATGAATCATCGTGGTTTGGAATGAGAAAAATGCAACTGGGATGACTCTCCCTCCAGCAAGCAGGACTGGGAAGTGCTGGATCAGAGCACTTCTGTAGTGTGGAAAGGCCAGAGAGGAGACCTTAGACAGGCAAGGGGAACCTGTGGTGCCCGGTGCATCACAGAACAGCTGCAGGGGTCTGGCAAGATGCCGGCATATTTGTATATTATTTTCACCAAACAGAAAAATATCTGCTTCTCTCTTCGTATACCCAGAGCACCATGCCAGCACGTTGCCCGTGTTATTAATCGAGGTAAAAAAACAGCTGCAATCACTCCGTCTCAGAAGCACGATCCTTGTTCCTTCCTTCATATTTGCTTTTATTTCCTCATTTTTCTTGTTCCTTCCTGCTCCCTTCCCTGGGTTTATCTTGACAAGACCAACACGTACTCCCCCTGCAGCCCGAACGCATGCCGACTAGAGTATCTGGTGTCGCGCTCCAGCCTCCCATGTAGGGTGCGGTCCTGCCTCTGGCCCTGCACCAGCTAGGGTGAAAATCCAACGTGTGCAGGAACTTCATTTGGCTACCTGCAGAGATGAATTCTATCCCGGGGGGTTGGATACGTCACCCCTCACCTCACTAAGGTGATAGACTCCTGGAGAAAGCCTAGACTGACCCAATTAATCTGCTCTCATTTTTGTAAAAAAAAATCTTCTCGTTCACTTTATCGCCACCACATGAACAGCGGGGATAGTGAATCAAATGCACTTTGTTTCCACTGGCAGAATGCCCAAGTTTGATAAACTGACTACAAAGATGTACAGATGAAACAGAACTAGCCAGTCTATAGATGCACCACAGTGCTTATTATACTGTGAAACTGGGTGATCTACAAACCTATTTATTTGGTTGCTATTTGCTGTAATCCGTGCATGAGTGTGTGAGTGTGCATGAGGCTTTGTCCTTATTTTATGCCATACAGATAATAAATAAATCAGGACACGTCAATGGGCTGGAAACAGAGCTGAGAAGAGGAGAAGAGAGAAGCTGCGCGGCTCTTCAGGAGCAGAACCAGTTTACCCAGCAGCAGTACAGCTATCCGTCTCCAGACTCCAGCTGGACTCTTCATCATCTGACTCACCAGGAGAACAGAAACTTTTTCTCTCCTGCTCTTCTGTACTTCAGATTGCGATTCAGGTCACATACCAGCTTGTCTTCAACTGACGCAATCACAAAGTACTAAAAACTAGATTCTCAGAAATTACATACTGGTATGATTACAGAAAATTGTGCTTTTATCTGATTATCTGTCAGTTTATTAAATGAAGTGTGCTTTGTTCAGGCATGGTTTACATCCTACCTACTGTGTAAATAATTACATGTGAAATTGCTTCATTTCCCCCTCCTTTTCTCTTTTGTATTTACAATCCCAATTTATTCGTATTTGCACAATTCATAAGGATAAACTAGTAAATCCCCAACAAGGTTTTCTAATTAGCAAGAAAATATTGCTCTTTATCAAAAGTGAAGCCTTTGTGTTTGGCATGGTTTCCAGATTGCTGGCACTTATCTTCCATAAAAGAAAGAGCAAGCCACCTAAGTAGAGCCTGGCTTTCAAAGCAAAAAGCATAACAACATCCAGGCACTGGTTTCAGAATAGCACTGATTCAGGGGCATCTTTCAGAATACAAGTCTGAGGGAGGCTAACCTAAATCCAGGTTCTGGGGCAGAACTGGCAGTCAAACTGAGAAAACACAGCAAGGAATTGTGGATACATCCCAGTAACGTTCACAACTGCAATGCTACTAATGTTATTTGACAATACCTGACAATAAAATCCTATAGTTTGATTATAAAATGAAGGGCTGGGATGATAGAATATATATTTAAGTGTATCATTTTTATCAGAAGGGTTTGTCTCAGATTTGTACAATATATGGCAAATAAGAACTCATTTAGAATATTGTGTGCATTTATGGTCACCCCGATACACAACGCCTACTGTTGCTCCAGAATCAGTCCAGACTGTCCAGTTCTTGAGGATTCGCAGTGATGTCTTGTACTGACAGGCTAAAAGAACTGAACCTTCTTAGTCTCTTGAACAGAGAAGACCAGGACAGGACCTGACTGAAAATCCCGACAGATACTGACAGCCCTCTGGAGTTTTTTTGCAGTCAATAATAAAACACGAACCTGAGGACACAACCAGAAGCTAAAGAGAACCGCTACTAAAACTAAGAGCTTTAGGCACTTCTTCACGCAAAAGGGTTGCGGCAGCCTGGAACGAGCCACCTAGCCAAGACCTGCAGTCCAACACCTCCTGGCTCCTTTTAAAAAACAGCTGGACAAGATCCTGGGATCCTTGGAAATGAGCTACAAGCAAGAAAGTCAGATGGGCGCAACGGGGTCCTTGCATGTACGAGCTCTCGAGCCGGTGACCCCCCTCCTGCCACTGAAGCCATAAGGAAGAGTGCGGAGCTGTACTCACCGGCACATTTGGTCCGCGTGACGAGGGGGGGGCCAGGAGGGCCTGTGCCACCTTCCCCCGGCCGGGTCAGCAGGACCTTGATCTCGTATTCCACGTCCGGGTCAAGGTGCCACAGCTTGTAGGTCGGCGAGTCCACGATGTGGGTCTCGGCCCAGTTCCCCGTGGTGGTGCGGTACTCCACCTCTTTGAGGATAATGGGCCCATCTCCGATGATGGAGTTGGCATTGGGCTTAATCCACAGGTAGGTGGCGCCTACTGCCAGCAGCTCGGGGGGCGCAATCGGAGTGGGTGGGGCTGCGGAAGAAAAAGACTCGTTTACCAGTGCCGTCACAGACCAGGGCCGGCCAGAAATCTGACCTTCCAGTGCGTCCCAGGGCTTGTGGCCCTTCAGTCACTACACAACAATCAGGCAATTGAAATATTATTCAAGCAATCAGTGTTGAAATTCATCAGTGGTATGGGCATCTTACTGAGCCGGCTGCGCAGGCAGTAAATTGTGACAGATATGAAAATACGATGGCCTACGCGGTTATTACAGAACACAAACAGTGATTACAATCAATGACATGTGGCTGTATTATTACCAAACTCTGACAGAACCTGTCAAGAGGGAACAGTACGAATCATCACACAGATTCATCCTCATTTCATCCTTTAGGAGGTTATCATCTCCTGAGCTGTACGCAAAACTGCTTCTCCCCACAACCCATTTCCGACTCAGTTACAAAGTGCTTTGCAAGTGGCTCCAGCTTTGCCTGCCAGGGGACTGAAGGGAGGTGAACCCCATGCAGTTTGACACACGGCAAGTCAATGCAGCGATTCATGCTGCTCATCACGCAGACTGAAGCCCACGGGCCGCAGAACGATGGGTTTGGGGTTAAGGAAGTCAAACCCAACGCAATTCGTGTTGGGGCTGTTCTCTAGAGACGCCCCACCTTCATTCGTCTTCACCGTTGCCCCATCCCGAAGTCTCCCGGGAGGCCTGCAAGTCCTCACAGCGCCGCCGCCAAGCGTCACTGGCCACGGCGTGCGAGGTCCCGGGAGAGAGGGTCTTTATACAGGGATCGGCTTCTGAACGTCGGGACAGCCGGCCTGCGCAGACGACGCCCGTCCCCCTTACAGCACCGAGCAGCCGCTGGGCGTCTGGGTTCCCCGGGAGCCGCTGGGGACTGTAATTACTCCATCAATCGGGGCTGTGATCCCTACTGTAGCCCTTGTTGAGGCACTAATGAGCTTGTGAGAACAGGCAACAGCAATCTGAGCTACTGCTTCATAATGGGGCTTTTTATTAAGCTTCCAAATAGCACAAGCCTGTAGGTGACTTTAAAGATTTTATTTTCTTCTTTTCACTTTTGAATGCTTCTATACAACTCCAGGCAGCATAGCAACTTCATGCTAGACAAGTAACACATTATTAGTGACAGACTGGGGCAGAGTCAACCAAGATGGCAGCCAGATCCACACTCAAATCCCTTTTCAAAAACATCTTCTTAGGAGCTGCTACAATCATTTGAAACCCTGAAGATTGCAACAACCACCAAAGTATTTTTGAATGAAAAAAACCTGAAAAGCTGCTTGTCAGATGGCCGAATAATAAAGGTCTGTTTATTTCAAATGGTCAGATTGTCTTTCTACAACAGGCTGACATATCCTTTAGTATTAAATCAAAACGACCAAAGCAAAAATCCTAACTTTTTAGCAGAGCCCTAAGTATGCTTTTCTTAAACTATTTTCCATAAGGAGATGAGACAGGATTAGCACCAAACCCCAAATTAACTAAATAACTATTAAAGTATAGTTTAACTTGCTCACCTTTATCTCTTTCAATCCACTGGCCTTTACCTGCCTGCTCTGTTCCCGGCAATGTATAATTATCAGGAACTAATTACTCCCACCAACAGCTGTAATCACTTACTGGGCTATCAGTCACCATTACGGCTCAGCTACTCACCCACCCTGTTTCCTAGATGAGCCAAAATGGCTACCTTGTACCGAACCCTCCCCGTGATGCCTCAGCTGCATGTTCCACTCAGGAATATAGGCTCCCTCACACTGCTGTAGTTTTGAACGTTTGAGACACATGGCCCACCAGTTAAACTGCTCCTCCCTCAATGTCCGTTTGGCACATTTACTTCAAACATCACACTGCAAGTGCGATTCTAGATCCAGCAGGGTGTGAGGAAGACTTACATTCTGACCTGACCGCCGTTTCTTCTGGATTGCCGTCAATATGCGCCTAAAACGGCTCCCGCTCCCTTAGCAGTTCTGCTAATTAACAGTGTTAGGAGCCCAGGTGTCTAGGGTGGGTTTGGATGCAGGTGGGTTTCTGGTGAGGGACTTAGGACGCGTGACCGAACTTCGGTGCAAAAGGGATTTTTTTTAAAAAAGTGAATAAGTGACTGGTACGTATACAGGACACAACAACAACGAAAAGGAACTCGAGCGGTGCCAGAAGACATAAAATAACAAACCCAAGTGAATCTAGCTAATACAGCGAGCTCTAACCTTACTACCCTGGACAAAAATCCAAAGGGACTTCGGCGTCTTGATGCGCCCCAACGTCCCCACACTGAGCGGACCAGAACCAAAACACACGAGCGGCACACGCCCCTAACCTAGCGTGTCGAGACGGGAGTGCGCCCTGTAGCCCGACACCCTAACCTCCACCGCTTGCTGAACGGCAATTAGTGGTTCTCTAGAGATCTCCAAATCCATATCCACACTCGTTGCGCTCTTCCCAGTATCTAACTTTTTAACGGAGGGCTGTTTAACGGAAGAGAGAGTGGCAGAAAATGATAATTGGACTATAAATTCTGGCGCAAGAAGTTTCTGATAAATCAACTAAGTCACCCAATTTCCGCGACTGCGCACGAGTGACAACACGGGCAGGGAGCGTGTCCGGAGAGAGAGCTTCTGGCCGATTCAACTCTGCTAACACGGGCTTGACTTTGCCGCCTGCTACTCTAGATCATTTTCTAGGATAAAACTTGCGCCTTTAACAGGTAACAAAGGGCGTACCCCAACTTGAACAAACCCCTTAACTAGGGCACACAACAAGTTTCAATAGGACGTAAACAGCAATAATGCAGACTGGTCGCATACGAAGTGTTGGGCAGATTAAATCTACACCCCGCCTGCCCGAGCTCTTCATGCTTTTTGAAGCCCAGCTCCAGCCTGCAGCAGAAACCAGCTAGAACTAAAGTTGATGATAACATCCAACAGCGACACCCTTTATCCTTTAATTAATGCTGTTTATAACTAAGGACCAAAAGAAAGGATGTCCTTCTGTGGAAACCCTGCTCTTCCATTATTCATATGAGTAACATACACCTGTTTCCAAGTGACACATGCTGCAGGAACAAAGAAAGGTCTGAGAGACCCGACTACGTGCTTACGTTAAAGGGGCGTTTTTTAATTAAAAGGGACAGTGAACATTAACCTTTTATTTAATTAACCATTAAATAATTAGACACAGGTGTTCAATAAGTAGAAACCTAGAGGCTAAGGCATGGGTGAACAGCTAGATGTACACTATCTGCTCTCTAAGATGTAGCAAACACAGATAACAGATTATTTCTTACTGATTCAACAGCAACTCAAACACTAGGCCCAGCTCTGTCTGGAGTCGGGCTGACGAAAGAGTAACTCTGGGCTTAGGTTTAGTAGCAGGGAGACGATTGCAGCATGGAGAAATGGGTTTGCACGCAGATCAAGATGGCCTTCTGCCTGCTCCTTTGTTCTGCTGTGGCCTGCACTGCAGACTGCTGCTGTTCCAAACTGCTGCTTCATTAAACTATCTCATGACAATGGAACCTACAGCAGAACTGCCTGCTGTTTCCCAGCCTTTCTGTGAAACTCCCGCGAGACCTTCTCCACTTGGAGTGGCGGGTAAGCAGGGCAATCTTTTCCCTCTCCCTCCAAACAAACAGAAGGAAGGATTCTGGAAACAGTGCAGCCCCTTATAAGCCTTCCACTCCCACAACACCTCGGCACGAAGATTTCCGCTGGAGGGGAGGACTGGGAAATGCTTATCTTAGCTTCGCACTAAATGGGGTTCACTTCCATTTCAAATTTTTGATAGTTTTCAATGCACACTAACCTTAAACCAGCTCTCTACGCATGCTGGCGGCAAACCAAGCCTGTAACATCAGCCTCATAATTTCAGTCTTTATCACCTGCACTCCACAGGGAGTTTTTAAATCCGAGGATTTTTGTAAAGCTTCAGCAATCACATGCTATCAGATCAAACCCCACTGAGCACAGCAGATACTGCAGTAGGAGAAAAGTATAGCGTAAAATGGGAATGTGTGGCTGTGAGACAACAATTACTGAAATCTGCTGTTTTTCTCAAGACTTGCAAAAATACCAACTGCAGGAACGTCAGGAGACCCCAGCCCTGCACTCACTCCACTGATGCGATAGAAAGGCTTTTGCAAATTTTCTTTAGCTTTAACACTGAGCACATTTCCAAACAACAAAGAATGTAAAAAACGGTTTATAGTGTGAAAAAAACATACTTTGCAGCATTCATATGTATTAGGCTAAAATAAATATTCTTAGGATATGCGCCTTCCTTATTTTTGTAAATGCTTGGTATTCATCACACATTTAATTTTTTCACTGCTTGCCAATTAATTACTGTAACCTATTAAGCAGACAGTTGTACCATACCAAACTCTGCCTACACACCCCCAGGTGTACCTGTCCTCCGTGCTGATCACAGAAGGAGATATTAAGGCTATCACACAGCGTACAGGGCTGCACAGAGAAATGAAATTAAAGCACCTCAGTGACATTCTGAGGTGCATTATTGTGGGAAACTAGAGATACCTTATCTGCACACAGAGTTGAATCCTTTTTCTATTATTTATTATTTCTCCAGATATCAATTTATGTTAGCATGTGCAGGATGTTTGTCTAATACAGCACCAGTCCGACCCCGGCATTATGCTTTAATACTCCTCCGTTCGCTCATGATAACCCAAACGCTGTTCCTTATCAACCCATGCTGGGCCATTACCGACAGGCACTTTCATGCTCTTCTCTCACTCTGCTCTTACAGTCTCTGCGCTCTGTCTCCCTCCCTGTCACACGGTTATCTGATCTCCACGGCTCATCTATAGTCAAAAGACAGGACTCGGATCCTAAAAGACTCAGGCTGTGCTACTCCTTGGATAGCTATTAAAGTCCTGCTGTCCAGGACAAAAACAGAAGCTTAACTGGGGATTCACCCTAATTTTTAATTGGGGAAGTATATCTATGCATGATATAATATCTCTACATACTAAGATTAA